TGCTGTTTCTTTCCCCTGGTACATTCCTAGTGGCATTCATCCCCAATCCTGGTATATATATATATATATACATATATATCTATATAAACATGTATATATATATATATATATATACATACACATAATCCTGACACTGCCAAACAACAAAACCTTTCAGGCCAGAGCAAAAGAAAGATCTCCGGGACGACGATTTGATCCGGGCTTGTTGGGGCTTTCCCTGCAGTCTCCATTGAAATTCCGTTTTTTTGGTTTCGGCTTAAGCATTTCTGAATAGTAAAAGGATCCTATAACAGGCTAACCGGCTAACCAAAAACGAACTACAATGGCGACTGCAGGTTGAGGCGAATGCGCGATTTGGATTTCGGCAGTTTTGGGCAGCTTTCAAGGGTTCCAGCGGAAACGTGCCTAGGACAATGTTCTAGGATTTCGGGCTTGTCAGGGCCTGTCTGGGACGGTTTGGGGCAATTGCCAGGGCTTTTGGATTTCGGGCAGTTTTGGGCAGCTTTCAGGGGTTCCAGCGGAAACATGCCTAGGACAATGTTCTAGGATTTCGGGCTTTTCAGGGCCTGTCTGGGACGGTTTTGGGGCAGCTTTGGGGCAATTGCCAGGGCTTTTGAAAGGCTCATCCCACCTTTTCAGGATTTCGGGCAGTTTTGGGCAGCTTTCAAGGGTTCCAGCGGAAACGTGCCTAGGACAATGTTCTAGGATTTCGGGCTTGTCAGGGCCTGTCTGGGACGGTTTTGGGGCAGCTTTGGGGCAATTGCCAGGGCTTTTGAAAGGCTCATCCCACCTTTTCAGGATTTCGGGCAGTTTTGGGCAGCTTTCAAGGGTTCCAGCGGAAACGTGCCTAGGACAATGTTCTAGGATTTCGGGCTTGTCAGGGCCTGTCTGGGACGGTTTGGGGCAATTGCCAGGGCTTTTGGATTTCGGGCAGTTTTGGGCAGCTTTCAAGGGTTCCAGCGGAAACGTGCCTAGGACAATGTTCTAGGATTTCGGGCTTTTCAGGGCCTCTCTGGGCGGTATTCTGGGATTTGGGGCAGCTTTGGGGCAATTGCCAGGGCTTTTGTCGGGCTCATCCCACTAAATTTTAGGGTTCCCAGCGGAAACGTGCCTAGGACAGTGTTCTAGGATTTCGCGCAGCTTGGGGCAGCATTCAGGAAACTTAGGGCCTTCCCAGCTTTGCTTGCTCACAATTGGGGCTTGCGACTGCCACAAAGCCTAAACCCTGCACCGCTCCCAAAGCAGTCCTGTTCGTCGTGAGTCGAGTGGTCGAAGTCGGCGAAGTCCGCCACGTTGAGGGGACCAAACCACCCAATACAAACCCACCTTTAAGAAAGTCTTTTTCAAAGTCTGGACTGATCCCGAATTTCTTATTCCGAACTGCCAGATTAAGAAATTTCCGGACCCTCGCTTCCGAAGGACGATTTCTTATCAAAAGCCTCGACCGTAAGGTATATAGTGTTAAAACCGATTGTTTCACCATCCACGAAAACGATGTGGATAAGGTGTATGGATACAGTTTTTGCCGTGTGTGGAGAGAAGGATTGCTTAAATTTGGAACTGACATCGGCACTTGGAGACTGGAAGAAAAGAAAACGATTACACTGCCTACGCAGTTATACACATATAAATTTAATGAAGTGCCGGAAATCCCGAAAATTAGTAAATATTTAAAAATTGAGGTTGAAGACGAGTGGGACACTAAAACAATATGCGAGACAATTATGTTGAGAAACCCCGTAATCATTCCTTGCAAGTTCCCGGGAACGGGTAAGAGTTATATAGGTGAGTATTTCCAAAAAAAATGGGTAAGAATGTTTTGTTTTTAGTGCCAACCAATAGACTTTTACAAGAGAAGGAAGTAGAAGCGACAACATATAATAAGTTTTTCAGCATCGCGGTTCATGGAGATGTGGGAGAAAAGTTGCCAACGTTTGACTATTCCCCTTTCAACGTGGTGGTGCTTGACGAGGTTCATATGTCCAATTTGTATGTATTGGATAAGGTCAGACGGTTCATTAAAGTTAAAGAAAATCCTGATATTATCGTTATTGGGACGGGTGGTGTTAAGCAATTACAGGGAGTGGAAGTTATGACCAACTGCCAGAACCCAGCAGTTTATATAGACAGCTGCATACATATAGTATGTAAATACAACATTTTCTAACGATATGTAAGAGGATAGGAGCGAAGGACAGCGGAGAAGGCGAGAGAAACAGGCGACTACTAAATGATATTTATGATGATTTTTGGGAACATGAACTGCCCATGGTGGAAGCAATACCGAAATACTTTGAAACGACTGACGACATAATGGCATCGGAGCATAACATCGCCTACACTAACATAAGATGCCGAAATGTAGCAAACGAGATTAGAAACAGGTTAAACAAGAAAGATAAATACGAAGTGGGCGAAATACTCATTGCCAGAAAATGGATTTAACAACCAAGGGTAAATGTAAATCTACGGTATAGAATTACGAACATAGAGCAAGACAAACTCGGAGCGCAAATAACATTACAGAACATAGCGAATGATGAAGATGAGTTTATTTATGCTGTTTGAAGCGGTTGTTGATAATAACTTGATATACTCATACTGTGCCACCTGTCATTCAAGTCAGGGAGCGAGTGTAAAGGGGAGTATAACTATACACGAATACAACTTACCAATAGCAAGCAGGGAGTGGGTTTGGACGTGTGTGTGTCCAGATGTGTTGATTTTAGGCAGGTTAGGTATTATCCCAATCCAACTTTTGATAAACAAATGGATAAGAATATGATAATGCGGTACTTTAAAAACAAGGTGGAGAATTACAAACTACAAGACAGGAAAGCAGGGAGAGAAATAAACGAGGAGGAATACATGACTCCCGAATGGTGTTTGAAAATGTTTAAGAGCAGGTGCGAGAAATGTAATGCAGCATTCAGTTTTGAAACCAAGCAAGGCAAGTTATGTAGCAACTTTACAGCACAGCAACTATGGAATGATTACGGACATCATTTAGACAATTGTTGCGACTTTGCTTTGACTGTAATGTGTCCGCACATTAAAATGGTTTAAGGAAGTGGTGGGTATAGCTAAATAGAGGTATGAATAGGTATGAACACGGAAAAATTTATATGATTACAGATATTGCTATGACGAAAAGGTATATTGGAAGCACGACTGAAAGCTTGAAAAAGCGATTTGAAAGACACAAAAGCAAATACCAAGAGTATTTACGAGGTGGTGCTGACAACGCACGGTCGTATTGGTCATTTGATGAATTTGGTGTTGAAAATTGTAGAATATTGTTGATAAAGAACTTTCCTTGTAATAGCAGAGAAGAATTAGAGAGAGAAGAAGGAAATATCATAAAGGGCGAGGATTGTATCAACACGGCTATTGCTGGGAATGATTATATTTGCTTCCAAAAAAAGATTTAAAGAGAATTACACCCAGAAAACAGACAAGAGGAAGGGAGAAAACGCTACGAGAAAATGAAGCATATACTATTAGAAAAGCATTTGTGTGGATGTGGCGAGTACTACACATTTGAGCATAAGAAGCGACACGAAAAATCACAAAAACATCAAAACTACTTAGATGACTTCTAAACATGAATTTACAAGCAATATTTATTATGACCGTGCGGGATTGGGGAGTAGAGCCCAAACATTAAAAGACAGTAAGGAAAAGGCCGCCAGTATTACAAAAGAAGATGTTGAAAAAACCTTTAAGAAAAACATTGAAGAAAAGCGGAAAGTTAGAGGCGAGAATTCGTTTATTCCGAAAAAAGCAATGTGGGAAATCCAATTTGATTTGTTCTTTGTGAATGACATTCCTGACCAAAAGCTTAAAGTTGGTGCTATAATGATAGATGCCTTCCGCAAGTATATGGTTGTTATACCTATTAAAAGCAAAAGCGAAGGAGATGTAGCAAGTGCTTTAATTGAAGGATTTAACAAAATGGGAGGAACGTCGAAACTTTTGTACACCGATGATGAAGGCGCGTTGAACACAAAATCTATACAAGACTATCTGAAAGAAAATAATATAGAACACCACAGAACCAGAGGACACGCCCAATACAGTGAGCGTGGCATCCGAACTTTCAAACAGGCCCTTTATAAATTATAAAGGGATAGAAGCAGATGAAAAGAAAGGCAAAACAAACATTCAGTGGACAGAGTATATTTTTGAGATACTATTAACATATAATGTAAAACAAAAATATTCGTTCTACTACTAAATTCACGCCATCCCAAGCAAATTTACCGAAAAATGAATTTGAAGTAAAATTGAATATATCTTTACAGGCAAAACGAAATAGAACATACCCCGAGATAGAAGTAGGCGATAGTGTTAGAATAATGCGCAAAAAAGGCATTAGCGAAAACGAACGCACAAGTCATTGGCTGAGAACGCCCCAGAAAATCAAACGAACAGATAGGCAACTAGGACCTAGGACAAAACTATTACTATTTAGAAAGCGATGATAAGAGAGGATATTTGAGGCATGAACTGCTGAAAGTTTGAGGAAGAACAAGAAAACAAAAATACGAAGCGAACAAAAGCTTGCACGAAAACCCCTAAATAAAACCCTGATCAGGGAATAGGGCGCAAGTTGAGTCTTGAAGTCGCAGAGGTCAAAGTCGTTGATGAAGATGAGCACCTGCCATGGAACAAGTCGCATTGTGAAAGCGTGATAGGGTTTAGAGGTTAGGGGACTAGGGAGTTGCGAGCAGCACTGCCGAAAAGTGCTGTCATATCTGGTGGCACATTGCTCTCTGGCACTCTGTTTTCATGAGGTGCTCCTATTCGGTAAGTAGTTTCCGCGACTTCTTCTGGCGCGGTCAGCTGAAACACTGTATCAAATTATGCGCAGGTGTCCACTGTGCAGCATCATGCAAGGCTGTCATCTGAATATTTGGAGAAGGGTTTGAAACCAACTCGGTGAAACCCTCGCTAAGTTGCCACCGTTGTTCTGGATGTAGCCCTCGTCAAGGAGCGCCTCACAGGGCCACAAACTTGCGCAAACCCTGCCTACCTACAACATGACAGGCTGATTGGACGAAGCGCACCCTGCAAATCTTCAATCGCACGTGATGCGTGGAGGCCACCAGCACGTACTCCTTCTCGGTCTCGTGGAAAACCTCGGGCCACAGACCCGGCGCTTCTGCCATTTCGGGGATGATGCCTGCGACATTCTCTTCTGATGCCATCTGTGCACCCTCATCTTGCTTCAAGTTGGACACGGGCGAAAAGCCATCCAGTGCGATATTGATGAGGTGCTCCCGGGCGTCATCCTGCGGAAGTCAAAACGAATTTAGGTGCGAACCTGCCTTACCCCTAGAAACACAAAACAAAGCCCCAGTGGTCGGTGAACATCTCGAACATGTCGCGTGGCGGCACTTCCGGAGCGATGATAATGTTCTTGATGTCCACCAGGTTGAGACCGGCTTTGGTCAATTTGAAGGGGTAGCCGTGCTCGGAGCTGATGAGGACGACTGAGGCTTGGAAGGCCTCCTTGGTGCTGACGGTGATTTGAGCCAAAGCCCTCTTGGCTGTCTTTGCTTCGTCAGTGTCTTCGTCATTGGGGAGCGCCAGGTTCGCTTCGAAAATGATGATGGTGGTGTCGTTGCCGTTCTCTACGATGCCCTTAACCAACTCGGACAAAGCCTGTGCCTTGCGGTCGTCGTCCAGGGATTTCACGAAGTTTTGAACGGCCATTGCTAATGGTGCAGCCGCTGTTGCCACTCCAGCTCGCAAAGCCCCAAGCAGGGTCGCCATGAAGGGCAGTTGCTGGATGAACCGCCAGACTCGGGACTGTGGTCCAGCACGAAACCGTTTTCCAACGAGCGGCAGCTGCGCGAGGATGTCTAGAACATTAGTCTGCTTACTTGCCACTGACAGAGTGGCCTCGTAAAAATCTTTTGCCGGCATCTGCCGCATATTGACCAGCAGGATTGTCCTGTTTCCACCTGGCGCTTGCCTGACGTGTTCCGCGACATGCGAGACGACTAATGTCCTGCCCACTCTTTTGCCACCCAAGACCAAGGTGAGCTTGCCATCTCGGGAGATCGCATCCGTGAGGCTGTCTATGAAAGACTCGCGGTCCACCATCTTGCGTGGTTCGTTGGGCTCACCCTTCATGAACTGCGTGGCCTTTTGATCAATACTGTTTAGGTGCGCATCGGCATCCACCTGCTTCTCCCCGGCATCTTCCTTCAAAAAGCTTGAAGGAAAAGGTCGCTGTTCTTGACATCGGCGAAAAAGTCGCCATCCAACTGACGGGCATAGAACTCGGACTTCTCATCGCCCACCAGTCCATACGGCCAATGCTGATTTGCGCCACTTCAGGGAAAATAAAATCACGACGCCAATGCCCTAACCCTTTGAGTTTGACCCTCCGTTGCCTTGCGCAACACGCGCGTCTTGACAATGCCAGAAGGGCGCAAGGAGCTCTGAACCCGAAGTGCCGAAAAGGGAGCAACCACGAAGCTATGGTGTGCCACATGTGCCACAGCAACCAGCACCAGCAGCGCTGTTGAGCGACGTGTATTTGGGTGCACCATGGCGCAGGTGCTTAGGGCTTAGGGTTTGGGTTCTGTTTCAGCTTCTGCCTTAACATGAATGAGAACAACAACTGCGTCTATCAAAGGGCCCATACAACTCCTGAAAGGCTGCAGCCGGAACTGCAAGGTGTAAGCAATGGTGCCGCCTTCGAATCACAGGAATCGCCAAAGCTTCACAAGCGTGGCAGGCGCACCGTCTCATAGATGAACTCGCCGTTGTCGTCGTTTTCCAGTTCAGGGTTATAATCTTCTGGGCTTTTTTTCTATTAGGGTCTGACCCCACACCTCATATTAGGATATAGGTTATTTTATGGTTGAGGGTAGGGTTGATTTAGGTGCTTTGGGTTTTGGATTGTGTTCTGGATTGTTGTATTTGTTGGTGGGTTGCTTTCTTTTGGGATTATTGCTTTTGTGTTGGGAGGTGCTTTGTGTATTGGTGTTTTGGAAGGTTGATTTTGGGAGGCGGTTTGAAAAATGAGGTAAAAGCGTAGGGGGGGGTATAGGGATGTGAGGTGTGGGGTTAGCATCTGCTTGCTCTAACCCCTAAGCCCTAAACCCTGAAAGCCTAAACCCCCAAACCCTAAACCACTAAACACGACCAAAGCGTCCCCCGGAGTCGCAGCTTCCGCCTCGCCCCAGCGGATCAACTCCACGTCGAAGCTCCGGGGCCAGGCTTTTTTCGACTTCGGGTTCGTACCTTGGCTTCTGCCGGGTTCTTGTTAAAGGGACTCAATGTAAGTTATCATACATAAACTATACATTTACTGACTATAGATCCCCATTATATATTATGTATATAATACAGTATATAATGGGGATCTATAGTATAAAAAATGTGGCTTCCTTACTATGGTAACTTAGCTTAAGTTTCTTAACAAGAACCCAGTGTGTAGTTGTTGGGCCTCTCTTTGGGATGTAGTATTCTAGGGGTTGGGAGGTCAGGGTGCAGAATGTCTAGAGCTTGGGGCTTTGGGGTGTAAGGGCTTGGGACTTCCGGCTCGTACCTCAGAGCCGTGTATGGGCCACAGAAAAAACTGGTTCTTGGAGCGTGTTTTGACGTTCTGGACACATGCTCACAGCGCCGCAAGCCTTGCAAAACCTACAAAAACAGCAGCTCGGATGCCCAGCTGACGGCAGACCCGCAGGTTTTGAAACTCCCCCGGCTTTCGCTCTTGCAGGGCGAAGAAGGGCCGGAAGCTCAACAGGCCCTCGGCCATCCGCTCGAAGAGCCTGGGCTGCGCCAAGCAACGCAAAAAGGGAAGCCTGGGAACTGCGGGCCTGTAGGGCCTAGGATTTAAGGGTCGAGGCTTCAGGCTTATTGTTTTTGGTCTGGGAGGTGAAGGAGCTGCGGAACCCAGCAACGGCTCACGTTCTGCTCAGTGGACTCCAGTGTTGCAGGTGTGTCACCATGGCTTCTTCTTGTCGGTGCCTTGTTCTACCTCGCTACTTGGCATACCGTTTTGGACTGCGGCAGTGGGTGGTTCACCCCTTCCGCTCGCTCCTACGCTGCAGTTCTCAATGTTGGGGGAGTGACTCTGCCAGGAAACCCGGAAAGACTCTAAATCGTAAACCCTGGAGCAAGCCCACCCTCCAAAAAACCAAAACAAGCCTAAGATTTCCGCCAGGGCGCTCGCAGCAGTCCTTGGGCTCCAGCGTCTCCGGCGCTGGGATCGTGATCGCGGCGGCGATGGCCGCCTGCGCCTTCGGCAGCAGCTCCGACAGGCCCTCCAGCCTGGAAAGAGCTTAGGGTTTGGGGTTTAACGGTTTAGGGTTTAGGGGTTAGGGTTTAGGGATCAGGGCACCATCAATTTCCCTCACAACCGGAGCCCAGCAACTGGCGAAGGAGGGTTTTGACCTCCGTCTGAGATCGGCAGGCGATGCGCCGCTCGCTGATGGCCAGAAGCCTAGTTCATGGTTGGGATAGGATTAAACATGTAAATTCTGTTCTTTATTGGGTTTTAGTACCCATAAAAATTGTAGAATAAGAAAAAATGTAGAATATTACCCAACTATGGCCAGAAGCAGCTTCCCGGCCTCGGAAAGTGCGTCTTCCACCTGTTCGGTGACGGCCCAGTCACATTCATCCTCCAAAGCTTCCTGGGGCCCTTCCTGGGACTCCTCCTTCTTGGGATCCTCTTGGAGCTCCTAGGGAATTCGAATTAAGTTGCCAAAACAGGGGTCTATTGTAAGGAATAGGGTTTCCTTATTCTGGCACCAAAAAAACTAAACTCCTTAACCAAAGCCCAGACTCCTCTTTGGGCTCTCCGGCTTCCTCTTCCTTGGGCTCTTCGGCTTCCGTGAGGAACCCCCGGGGCACGGCTTTGCTGCCCCGGCGCTCGCGGACGCGCTGCAGCTCCTGCTGAACGTCCGGCGACGGCGAGTGCTGCCAGGCCTTCATCATCCGAAGAGGCTTTGGTGGCCCCATAGAATTATACTACAAATTTGTTATCATGGGATGGTAATTACCTGTAGAGGCCATAGAGGGGATACATACTACGAACTGATTAGAGGCCTTCGACAGATCGTCGTGCGCCGCATCCAGCAGGTCCAGCCTTGCCGAGGCCAGCCCACGGCGGTAGAGGCCCTTGGGATTCTCAGGCTCCGCCTCCAATGCTCTGCCTGGGTTGTCCTTTAAGCCCTTCGAAAATTATTTAATATCATGGTTCTCTACAAAATAGTAGGGGAAATGAAAAAAGATCCCAAAGGACAACCCAGCTGCTTGCAGATCGCCTTGCAGCGTCCCAGCGCTCGAGTTTCAAATAGCACAAGGCCAGATTCAGGTCCACCGCAACTCCCAGGGCCACTGCAGCTGCATCCTTCCTCTGGCGATAGGGCGCCCAAATTGCAGAGAGGGCTTTCCTGTAAAGGACTTCTGCCTCGGCAAGCTTTCCCGCTTGCATGAGGGCATTCCTGGGATCTGCTCTACCGGCAAGGTGGCATCGGCGGGGACTGGCTACTTGCTTGGAGCAGAGTTGAAGAAGTATATGAACATCAGAGTCCCATGGACCCTGGCTGTAGCCAATTTGAGTGCACAGACTGCCAGAACAAATCACAGAATGCGGTCAAGATTCCCGTTCTGCTTGTTCTGCGTGGCAATGCCCATCTTCTTCTCGGCTTTGGCCTTGCCTGCAGCTTCATCTTCCGTGTCCGACGAGAAGACCGCATCCCAGTCAACTGAAGCACCAGCTTCCATCGTACTCTCTGCCGCCATCAGGAATCATGCATTACTACGTTGAGGTTGGGCCTGGGTTTGGGGCTTAAGGTCAACGGGCTTCAGGTCGTCTTCAGGGTTTGTGAGAGAGCTTGTTCCGAAAGCTGCGTTGCTGTGCTGTTTCAGCTCGGGCTGTGCCAAACCCCGTCAGCACCTACAGACCGACGCTGCAGTACATTTTTGCCGCAAACTGCACCTTGGTGACCAAAAAGCGGCTGGTAAGAGTCTTTGGGTCATGAACACGCTCAGTATGGAGGGCTGTCATCTCCCGGCATAGGCATCCAGAGAACTGTCACAGTACTTGTGGTCTATTTCTGCCGTACATGGGTTTAGTGGAAAGGATGTCTACAAGCCGGCGCGAGGGCAGCAAAATATCTGTGGCAAGGCAGAAGACTAGTCGGCGGAGGGACTTGGGGGATTCCTTCTGCAATCGTCTTCTGCCTTCACATGGAACAAAACTTCTCCCTGGCCATGCACGTATTTGACGCAGCACCAGGGGTCAGAATTTCAAGCAGCAACACGTGTTTAGTAGACACATTTGCGCTGCACACTGTGCTGGGGCAAGCAAGAAACGGACAGCCAAGAGGACGGCAATCGCTTACCATACTTCTTCGGATACACAGGACAAGCACCCGCGGTCAGGAAATCAGTACCTCGACAGAGTTCACAAGCATGCACTCGCGATCACTCGCTTCACCGAAACAGGCTCATCTTCTGCCGTGCTGTTGCCTAAATCCAAACTGACAAGTGTCCACAGCGCGATGGACAATCCGCGTGGCTCAATCTTAGGCGCGCGCATTCCTCCCATTCCGCCCATGCCACCCATGCCGCCCATTCCGCCGCCCATGCCACCCGCCGGAGTTGGTGGGGGTGTGGTCGGCAGGTCCGTGACGATAGCATCTGTCGTGAGGACCTTCGCGGCCACAAGCAGATCATATTTCGCAAACTGTGCTCATGATGAAACATTTTCCAGTTGAAGGATCAGGAGGCTGAGCCAGTCGTGAAAAACAGCTGCTAGTGAAATATTATGTGGTATCCTCACGATGAAGACTGTTGTGAGGTCTCCCTCTCCGCTGTGTGCCGAGCCATGCCGGCAATAGACGCCGCGTTGACGACTGAGTTGATCACCACCTGCACTCTTTGAATTTACCCTGCGGTCCTACGCGGCCTGTAGCCTGCCCTGCTTGCTCCCTGCACAGTGGTGGCAAACCGATGTACAGAACGCGAGCATGCATAGAAACGGAAACAGATACAAACATGTGCGAACAATAGATATCTCAATGGACACACTGTCCCACACTCTGGTGTACTGTGGAGTAGAAGGCACACTGCGCAAGAACAACAGTGTGCCTAGGGCCTAGGGGATCCTATAGGGGCCTATCTTGTCCGTCTTTGGTTCTGCTCGGCTGCGTACCCTCAACTCGGCCAACTCAAACCCCAAAACCCTTCATCCTAAACCACCAATGGACCAACACATCTAAGGGAACTAAATATACTCAAAGGTTCTTCAGGCCAGCACGATCGCTTCAGAACTTGGGACAGCTCCCCGGCTGAACTCAAAGGCCTTGGCGGGATCCACCACACCAGCCTTGAGCAGGTCTTCATAGACCTGCTCAGACTGCTCAGAAGCAAATCGGGCCTGTCGGGTTTGGGTCTCAGGATTTTAGGGCTGCTTTCTTTTTGAGCGCCTCTCTCTCTCTCTCTCTCTCTCTCCGTCCCCTCGAGGTTCGTGGGACCCCGCACTTGCGTGAGGCAGGCTGGCCTAGAGTTTATGGAATAAGGGGGTTAGGGGATTTTAATTGGCTTATTGGCTTCCGGGTTTGAGGGTCTAGGGCTGGGACCGCCCTGGCTGCGGCTTTACAACGTGGGAACTGCGATTCAACGCACATGGTCTACTCACTCCACCAGAGAGCTGCGTGAAAGAGGCGACAGATGCCAGATGAACCTCAATTCAACATGGCATGATCCAGACACGATTGATATCAGTAATCCATAGCCGTCGTCGTTGCGAGCATCGTGAGAACAGAAGAAGCACGCGAGCACCCAAATGAGTAACAATGACCAGTTTTGAGAGCTCGCCAAAGAAAGCAGGATTGCTGGCAAAATGGTACTGTCAAAAGAAATATATCCATTGCATCTACACACAGAACAGGAGCCATCCGAACTCAAAATGCCAAGACCTCAGGATGTACTGAACGGCACTTACCTGGACATGCCCGGGCCGTGTCTTCGGAAAAGCCTGTTGTCGATCTGTAGCTGTCTGCTCTAGTTGCCGCATTGGCTGCTTTTACATGGTATATACACTAGTCGCAGCAGTGGTCAAGGCTGCCACCGAAGTGAAGTGGCTGTCGTCGAAGATTGGCTAAATCAAGATCGGCTTCGTCCTAGTCGTTGTCATGGTGGTGGCGGCGTCGCAGTAGCAGTACAGTAGTAGCAGTAGCAATAGAAGTAGCAGTAACCGAAGTGGTAGCAGCACTCGTAGAGGCAGGTATTGGGACCGCTAGTGGCAGTGGTAGTGGCAGTGGTAGTGGTAGCGGCAGTGGCAGTCGTCGCCACGGTGGTCGTAGTGGTTGTTGTTGTCGTCGCCGATATGGCTGCCGTTTTGTATTCATTCACAAAGACCCACCTTCACGCTTCCTACAACGTACTGGCTTCGGGTTGCGTGTGGTCTTGACACGTGTTTAGGTATCCTGGCCCAAGTCTCATGTACTGGCTGCGGCAGTGGCAGCTCTGATCTCAGCTCGCTGCCGCTTTTGGTTGCTGCTAAAATGTTCCCTCTCCCCGTTCTTCCAGTACGGGATGCTGGCATCCGTCGCAATCACCGGATCTGATGGACGATATGAGCTGAGAAACACGTGTCGCTCTGAGCATTCCCTCCAGCCTTGGTCGCAGCATTGTAGCCGTACCCGAACTCCTTGCCGCGGATGTTGAAGACCACCTTTCGGTGTCAAGCGATTGGTTTGCTATAGCTTGATTCGGCTACAGCGGGCTGTGCAACAGATGTGGCCAGTGCACGAGAAAGGAAGTGAAACTTCCCAATGTTTACTTGTTGCTCTCGTTGTATGACCCTTGTCTGTCCATGTGATTGTATGTTCACGGCTTTAGAATTGAGAACGTTTGCAGTGTTGTCGAGTCTTACGAAATGACATGAGGCTCTCGGTCTTCAGTCTCAATGGGCCACTGGGCGAAAAAGGGTTTAATGTAGAAGCCTGAATAATTACCAAGACTAGTTTGGTGGTTCATGATTATAACTACATATTGCAAAATCCCCAAAAACCTGTTCTAAGCATTATGGCCGCCATCTTTCAGATCCCTATTATAGATCCCTTTGCAGAGCTCTTTAAAGGACCCCGGACCCCCAAAACCCTAGTCTAACCATTATTGCGCCTAGAAATTCGGTTTCGAAAAAAGTGAGAGCATAAAAACCCACCAAAACCTCATAATAATTTTATAACTATTGATTGGGGCCCCTATGATACGTTTTTCGAAATGACTGAGGCTCGCCTCGCTGGGGTCCTCTCCAGCGTTGCGAGCAATCTGCCTGATGGGAGCCTGCCCAGGTTTGGGGTCTTAGGGTTTGGGGTTTAGAGACGTGTAGTCTTGAGCGGTCTAGGATGTCGGGTTTTGGGTTAGAGTCGGTTAGAGCTTAAGGCTTAGGGCTTGGGGGACTGAATCACTGAAAGTACGACAAAGAGGGCGTGCGACGGAAAGGAGTCTCTGGCGAACTGCCTGAGTGCATGCTCTCAGTTACCCCAAACCCCGAACCCAAAACTCTACTCCCAAAAACCCTAAACGGGAACCCGAAGCAAGGTCCCGGTCTCAGCAGAGACCCAACGATCCTTATCTGGCCTGCAGTGACTTGAAGACAAGCTCGGCTCCCTTCTTCTCGTCCTCCGTTTGGAGCTCCTGACGGGCTAACAGTATGTGTATATATATACATATATATATATATATATACATATTACCAGCATTGCCATACATACTACTACTACCCCCCCTATAGAACCCTAAACTTACCTTTGGTTAGTAGGGAATGGAGGAATGGGTACCATTACAACTACTATTACTACCATTCTTCCATTCCCTACTAACGAAAGGTAAGGCAAGAGCAATGTCAATAATGTCAAGAACAAGAACGATACTGATGCTCGGCGCAATGTTAAGGATTAAGATGTGATGGTGTCAATGATATTGCAGTCTTCATGGTTTGCTTTTGCTTAGCAGAGTCTGGTGAAGGAGCTGCAAACATCCGTATGGGAGGCTCGCAAAGTTAAGGTCTGAGCACTCCATTCAGTTGCCGCAGACTTGCAGACTTGCGATTGCCTTCTGCACTTTCTCCAGGAACTTCTCTGCCGTCAGGTACATCAGCACACTTCCGCCGCCGGGAACAATGCCCATCTCCTCACCAGAGCTGCACTCTGGGCGGGCAGCTTTAATCTTATCAGTGCGAACATGCTGTTCAGTTTCAACGGAATGAACGAGCGAGCCCGCTTGCGGAGATATAGTTCGTGTCACACACAACATGTCGACTTGCTGCACTCAAAGGCTGCGCGCGTAGAGCTGCATTTTCGACGACTACAACGTGTTTCGACATGTTTCGACGCCCTCTGGCCAGACTCTGAGATTCTCGTCACTTTGGGTCGAAATCTCTCTGATAGATCAGATCCCCTTCGTGCTTCCTTTGCGCTGCGGACTGCGCTGATGGCATCCGTGTATCGGAGCCTCGGAAACTTGGATGAGAACGAGGCTTCGTTTTGGGAGCTGAGAATAAAATGTCGCACTTGCCGAAGGAAACCCCTCAGAAGAGTCGCTGCTGGCTTTGTAGACATGGTGGCACATTGGGGTGCCAACGCTGGAACATATGCCGAAAACCTAGTCTAATTCAGTTTCAGCCTATGCTAAGTAGTTACGTCGCTATTTACTTCCAAACCCTGGACACTTTCCGAGCTCGGCGGCTTCTTGTCGTTGACCTCCGTCTCGGTAGCACCGCCCACCTACAAGAGCGGCTTTGGTGCAGCGACACTTGAAAGCCGGGGCGATTCTAGCGAAGAGCATGCCCAAACCACGGTGGTGGTTGTGGTGGTGGAGGCGGTGGTGGTAGTGGTGGTAGTGGTAGTAGTGGTGGTGGTGGTGGTGGGGCGGTGTAAGAAGCAGCAGCAGCAGTAGCATCAGTAGCCGGAGGAGGAGCGGGAGCAGGAGCAGTAGTAGCAGCCGTCGGAGTAGGAGTAGGCACATGCGGAGGAGGAGAGGAGGAGGTCGCAGTCGCACTAGCAGTGGCAGTGGTAGTGGTACTGCTTGCAGCAGTAGTACTCGTCCGCCGCCCGGCCTTCTGAAGTAGTAATGGCAGTCTGCCGCCAGCGCCTCTCTAGTAGAAATCGTCGGCCTGCCCCTTTCAAGTAGCAGTGGTCCTGGGCCTCTTGGTGCTTTAAAGCCAGGGACCGGCTACTACCACTACTGGGAGTAGCTGCAGTAGTAAACCTAACCAGTAATAACTAACAGCAATCATATAGTATAATATGATGATATTGAGCGGCTGGTGAGCGTAGTGTTGGCATGCCAACCTTGATCTTCGCCACACCGCCACCCAGCGAAGCAATTCGTTCCTGGCAGGCTGCGGCTGCACATCTCCATGTCCCGAGCTCAACATGCGAACTTGGCCAGATCATGCAATGACTGTGGAATCAGGTCACAACGAGTTGCTTGACTCTATCGCATTGATAATGCTGGCTGGGTCCAACAAGAAGTGCAAGCTTTCAGGTTAGATGAACAATCAAGAAGCTCAACTTAGGCCTTAGGCTGTCAAGGAAGTGTGCAAATGAGCTGATGGGTGGTGCACAGGGGGCGGGGTTTTCGTCCGCATCCATCATGTATACCTGCATATACCTGAAACAGCATATCGCATGTCTGCTGGCAAAGCATGAAGTAAGTAGGCACTCCTTTTTCTGTGCCCTCAGACAGTCTCAGTCCTAACATGTCCTAACCTAACAGATCTCTAAACTCGCCGGGTGTCTTGCTACATGTCATGTCTGGAACGACTTCCTCAAGACAGCACTCTGCATTCAATCAGCTCGACCTGATTTCACAAGGGAGCACCACCCGGCGAAGGTCGTTAACTCCTTGCGATCATTAACAGTCCTGAAGACAAAGGCTTCAGGAGGGCCGTTTAGGCCGAAAGCCTGGAAGAAAGCCCCGCGGGGGAAGCCACTGTACAGTTGGAGCAGCACGTACTTCCGATCTTAGAAGTCAAACATAATTGCGTTTCCGTCGTCTCCAGCGCAGACCAGGCAGGATTCTGTGGCAGCAAGGCACCGGATGGCATTCTGCCCGGCATCCAAGACATAGAGCTTCTGGTTTCTGCGGATGTCGAAGCAGACCACTCGGCCACGCCCATCTCCAGTGAAGACAAGATCGTCGAGAACCAACATGCTGTAAATGAAATCCTGAACGCCGGGGAGAGTACATGGCGAGGGTCGCAAAGCTGCCAGACATAGTACAAGTGCAAGCCCTTTCAATAGCCACTAGCAGACTGGTCTAACACGAGCAATGCAACCATTGATTCGACCCCCCGGACCACTCACGGACAGCAAAAATGGCAATGCCCCTCGGCATCAAAAGTTTCAGCGGTTGGCGGCCACGCTTGGTGAATTGACAAGGCTGGTATGACGGACAACACCGACAGCACCACTGAAGTGACTTGCAGTGGAAAATGCATATTCCTGTCACTGGTAGCTGCACAAAGCAATCTCGTCCTCAATCCTTCCTGAAACCGACAAGTCTTAGCTACAGGACAGTCGCTACACTCCGCTGTCGATGCAAAGACGATGTCATGCCAACACACATGCAAAAAAAATGAGTTCTGCACCGAGACCTCGCAGCATAGACCACAGCGCATGGCAAACAGAGGAGGGATTCAAGACATGCAGAATGCAGGCCAAAAGGGCCTTTCTTCTCTCTTCCTTAAAGCCCACTTTTTGCCTTTTGCTGGCAAGCCACAGCGGTGATGTCACCAAATTCGAAGAGCGGCTGAAAGGCGGCTCTCGGATCGAAACCAAGCAGTCGCCCATCCGCCCCAGCCGTGACAATCACCGGTGGGCTGCCGGTGATCCCGATCTCCTGAGCTGGAAAAAAGCGCTTCCAAGGCATCTGGGAGCTTCTGAAAATTGGGGGTACCTCAATTTTGGGGTCCTTATAATAAGGATCTTATTATAATAAGGATCTTACTATTTAGGATACTATATTACGGTCCCCTATTTTCGGAAACTCCCATCTGGCCTGTAACCTTCAAGCCCGAATCCCTCCCCACGCGCGGGATGCTGGGCAGCTTGGTGCCTAGATGCGAGGGCAAGTTGAGCCACATGGGTGGTTGTCAAAATTAGGGTGTTTTGTGGGGTACCTTAAGTAGTAGGTGCCGTATTATATTAGGATATATTAGGGACCCAAAAAGGGACCATAATTTTGACAACCACCCACATTCAAATTGAGCAGCCTACTTGCCGAAGTCTCATGGAGACCCTAAGCCTCAGAACCCTCAGAACCCAAACGGGACGGCATCCAAAACCACTTTGCCGAAGAGAACTAACCGGCCTTAACCCCCTCCTCCGTGCTTCTTGCATCCCCCGCCTCTATGACTAGGGGGGTATCCCACAGTAGAATACTGATGATGGTCCTTTTACCCCCAACGAGACCCGCCACAGTCAGTCCCGGGTGCATTTATGGCGCCGCCGGGGTGTGCAGCCATGGTATAGGTGTTCCTGGGTTCTTGCTCAGGAACTTACTTTAAACTGCCCCAGAGCAGATTGTCGTGGTAACGAACTCTAGTTCTTGAAGCTCGATGCAGGTGTTCCTGGCTCTCGTTCCTGTCGAGAATCGAATCTAGGTATCATAAGCATGAAAGCAAGTTGTTCACTACACATAATCCTGTTGTGGTTCCTGCGTGCAGGTTCAGTTCTTGAAGCCCTCAACCCCCTGCAAAGCATCTCGGACCTAGTCGTACTATGGTAACTTCATGACCGCACCACAAGAAGAGCCCATGGTACCTAAACCCCTATACCCTAGAAGCCCAGAAACAGCTTCTGCCGCAGATCCCAGATCCGCAGCTGACCGTCTTGGGCTCCTGCAACTGCGGCTTTTGGCCGCAGCTTTTTGGAGGTGAAGGGCGAGGGGATTCTGAGGGGAAGTAGGGCTAGCTCAGGAACTCGCTTTGTGAGAGGCATGGGGTTTAGGGTGCAGGGTTTTCGGGCATTTTGGGTGGGAGGGGCCAGGGCGCTCATGGATCTTCCAGGCCATCCCCTCAGGTTCCACTTTGCTGCGTCTGCAACGCTGGTTCCATCTATCTTCAGCGACCTCACACTCTTACACTGCCAACAGAGGGCTGCCCTCCCCGAGTGCTGCTCCTGTCGCAATGAGGCCAGAGTGCGGGCTGCCGCTTTGAGCCTCCTCGCCTGTGGCAAAGCAAGGAAGCGACACTGATTTCACTGATATCTAGACATTTCGTCCTTCTTCTAAGAGGATGTACCAAACTAATAACTAGGGCCACCCTGAAACCCCAAACCCGATGAACTTCACAACCCAAAACCGCAAACACCCAAGCCTAAACCTTCCAACGCATGGCCTGATCCTTCTTGCGGCAGGGCCAGCATCGCGGTAATGTGCCCTTTGTGCCCACGCAGCGTTCCCATGTGCTGCGCAGTTCTGGCATCCCAGACCTTGGCCGGCTGGAGCTGCTCAAGACAGGAGGGGTTCTGAGAATGAGGCTTTGGGCGCTTTGTGTTGAGAGCTCATAAGGTTTACGTAAGGGCTTAGGGTCTATAAGGCTTGGGGGTTCAGGAGCGAGGGGAAAAGGGTTTGTCCTCGTATCACTCTGCAACCCTTCCTCAAATCCTCCAGTCAGCTACTGACCGAACCGACACTCGGCGACGAAACGGTGTGTTGGTTCACCAACAGCGTCATTGAGGGAGCTGGGTATGGCAGATGTAAACTATCATTTGCCGCCGATTCACTCGCACCATGCCTGCGCGGTCACCACTGGCAACCACATCATCCACCCAAACGAACTCGGTGATGGAGGCATCGTGACCTGTGATCCAGAAACCCTTCGTGCCCGTTGCTGCGCCCATGAATGTCACGCCAGACTGATTCACATCGAACGCTGGAGTTACAACAAGGTCTCACCGATGGAATCACTGTCTCAATACACTGCACTTGAGAAAGGCCTGTGCAGCATCCCAGCTCCGTCTTCTTCCGCAAATCCCACGCCCGCAAGGTGCGATCCTCAGACCGGCACTTCAAGTTCCTGAAGCTTTTCATCAATTTGCCCGAATGATTCCTGAGCCAAGCTACATACGCGGCTGAGATGGCGATGTCCATGTGCCTTGAGAGCCGCACACAACGGGCAGATGCTGAGAAGGCGAAGGGTTTCAGGGCATCTTCCTCAACGGGGTCACTGCAACTCCAGTCTCCCGCTGCATTTCTGTGATCAAGGCGTACAGTACCAGTAGCAACAACGAAGCAAACCTATTATCACAAAACCCGTGAAACGGCATCTTCTTCTCTGCCTAGGGGCGCATGCGCGCGAACGCGGCTGATGGAGCCGACATGGCCGGTGAGGTCAACGCAGGATACGCCCGAGGCCTGTGCAGCGGAAGAGTTGAGGCCAGAGCCTTGCAATGAGCAAAACCCAAACAGTAGGATCCTAAAGCCTGCAATTAAGGGGCCCCTGATAGTAAGACTGTAGGTTCGGAGGGACACCGTATTGGCTACATGGCGCCTGCCAAAGACAGAGCTTGCTGTCGAGGCCGCCGGAGATGATACGACCATCCCGACAGTGGGACACGGTAGTCACCCACTCTGTGTGGCCAAACCTTAATGAGTCGAATAGTTGATGTGCGAAGAATGCTATTACTACTGTTTCTGACACCAACTGCGGTCTCGGCATTGTGACTCAGCCAAGCTTCCTCTTCGTGTAAAGGTTTCTCATCACCGTGCCAGAGCGCACGTTAATCCTCGGCTGCTCATAGTGGTTGGGGGCTTCCAAACCAGGCAGATACGGTTTAGGGGTCTGGGGTTTGTAAAGGAAGCCTGCTTCTACGTGCTTTGGGCGATAAAGTACCACCCAAATGCAGTGCATCTGAGTGTCTCCTTCAAACCATGGTCTGCGCTGCCACACACCGCAAGATCACCTGACTTGATGCAGCATGCAAGATTTACAATGAAGCACCTGGAGCCTCAGCCCACAAGTCAGCGCGCACAGTTCACCCCAACATGCTCTCCAAGTCTCCTTGCAGGGACATGCACATGATGTTGCCTCAGGTGTGCGTAGTCCTCTTGCAGATTCTGTTCGGAAGTCTTTCGTAAGCATGTTGCCTGCAAGTCATCAAAACATTAGCAACAAGAGTACCTGTGCTGATGACACTGGTACTTGTCTGTTGGCTTCACTTGTGACAAGTCTCGGTCGGAAAGGTCCGCCACACGGCCGCTGTTGCAGCTGTTGAGCACTTCCTTGCCGTGCTTCACGCTGGTCCACTCCTTCACCTCACTGAGCTTTGGATGCAATGCGCATTGATTCCTGCTTGTATTTATGCACATAGCGAGGTGTGGGCTGGCTGTAGGCCCAACCCCTCGATCCCTACAACTCGGCGCTCTTCCCCGCCCGTCTTTCAGCCATGCCGCTGGTAGGATGGCATTCCCAGGACCTTCACGCCACCTCGGGCCAAGGTGTCATCAAGACAGGCGTAAACTTCGTCACTGAGAGTATAGTAAACAATGATAGAAGCAGTGATGAAAGGATAGTACTCGCGACAGTGACGGCAACAGCAATCTTCTCTCAGATCCACATGCAAAAGCAGGTACAAGTAGGCCTTCTTGCGATGCGACTGCTGGCCAAGAAGTCCGAACCCGAGCCTCTTCCCCATTTCTCAAACCGTACATCCTCAAAAGACAACACCCAAACCCCAAACCCTCAAGCCCTAAGCCCACTCTAGCTTTTGTCGGCCTTGCCTGGCACCGGTACCGCTCGCAGCAGACCGTGTGACCTGGCAAGCTGACTGGCCGGGAGGATTCTGGCCAAGCTTTCCGACCCCGAAATATCCCAAACTCCAAACCCAAAAGAAAGCGCTGAACCTGAAAATCCGGGTGAACACCAAGCCCAGACACCTAAATGGGGGGAATAAGGATCCCAAAATAAGGTCCTAAACTCCCAAATCCCTGAAGCCCCAAAAGGCTCCAATCTCCAATCCTTCGGGCCAGGCTGCCACAACAGCTCCACAGGCAGAAAGCATGGAGCCGACGCCAGCCTTCAAAAGGTGAAGTGGGACTTTCCGAAAAAAATAGGGGACCCTAATACAGTACCTTAAATAATAAGTATCCTCATAGAGTACCCTAAATGGTACCCCAACATAGGGCCCTAATATAGTATCCTAAATAGCAAGATCCTTCTTGTAAGGACCCCTCCCAAGTAAGCTAAGACCACTTGCGGGAGTCTTTCTTGGGGGGTGGTCAGACTTTAGGGAACCTTAGGGTATCCGTATCCGGAGATCTCAAGTCCAGGACTCTGCAAGGGGATGTGTAAGGCTTAGGGGCTTAGGGGGCTTTCTTAAGATGGTGAGCAGGGTCAATCACTGTTTCAAACTCCGACACAAAGAAAGACAGGTACAGCGACAGAGGACAGACGGACAGACAGATACGAGTACTGTGCATTACGCTGCTTGCGAATGCGGGGTTTATTGGTCCAGGATTGAAATTTCAGGGTTTGGGGTTTAAAGGCTTTGGGCCCAGAGGTGTAGGGATTCTTCCATCGCACCCAACACATGGAAGCCGTCGAGGGCCTCCAGACCTTTGCCGCGAGGAGCCGGGGCTGCCTTGGCCAAGGAGCCGCGGCTGCTAGGCCGGGAGATCGAATCTCCACCTGAGCGAAACTTGTATTGCCTTCTTGTTGGGGCTTCAAGGTGTTAGTTGGGTTTAGATTAGGGGTCGAATCGCAACCTCGAGAGGAGTGACACGGCTCGGCGGGGTGTGTAGGGCTTTCTTTGCTGTTGGGGTTTGTAAGGGTTTATTGGGCTTTAGGGGTTTGGGGATTAGGGATCAGAGGTTTCGAAGTAATGAAACAGGCTCGAAGGAAACAGCTCATGTAAGAGTTATACTCACTTCCCGCAGAAATTGTGAGCTTGCACGCCAACTTGGAAACAATATCAAAGTACAGTTCACTTCCGGTCCCTCGCCCTCCCCTAAGCGCTTCCCTAAGCTCCCGGCTGCGGGTGAGGGTGCCCCTCGTCAAGGACTTGGAGTCGCCACGGCTGCCTCCGGCCCCTTTGGGCGCATAGACGTTGAGGTAGGGGTCGTTGCTGGTGTCCACCCCCATCTCTTCCAAGCCCTGTCGGAACTCCTGCATGTAGCTCTCATGCGCCAGATGTGACGTAGCCATGGGTCCGAAGGGAGACGCGGAAGCAGCACTCTTGGGCTTCCCGTACCTCAAACTCAGATGGAGGAATATCCGCCTCGAAACTATCAACCCGACGGCACCCGGAGGTGCTGAGCTACTATACTGCGGTTGCGGCTACTATTCCTACTTGGGCAGGAATTAAGGAAAGTCGACGAGTGGCTTTTTATCATATTTCTTGTGGAGGCTCTCGAGTTCGTCAAGGGCCGGCACTTCCGACTTTGCAGCTGTGCTCGGCTCCTCTACGTCGTTCACCCAGGGGATCATCTCCGCCTGAAGGCTTTATTCGACTTAGGGAGATTTAAATGGCAACCGTAACATGATCACCAGACAAGCATAGGCCAGCCAGGACGAAGTCACACCTGCTACCGTGGCCACAGCCCAGCCACTCGCCTGCCGTTTCAGGAGCTGCTGGCCATCAGGACCCCGTATGGGCAGGTAGTAGCCATCCTCGGTCTTCACCCAGTCATCCACAGCCTCGCCCTCCACCTCGGCAACACGGCAGTCGAAAAGAGAATGTCCATACTGTCCCAAAGAATCTTCTTAGGCTGTTAATTGATAGGATATATACTATCCTATTATAGGATATATAGGCTATTTATAAATAGCCTAAATAGTCTATTATAGGATATGTAAATATCCTAAAATAGACTAATTTTCTATGTCTTGAAATGCCATCGTATTGGCATTGAGCTGCAAGGCCACAATAAGTTGCTTGCATCAGTGCCTTCACTTGGCATGTGAAAGGGTCAGCAGGAAGCCAAAGGCTCCTAAGGTTAGAGCTAGGATTCGTAGCGAGACAGGAAACCGAAGGCTAGATCTAGAGTAATGATCGAGAGGAACAGGAAGCCGAAGGCTCCTCTAGAGTAATGATCGACAGGAAGCCCAAGGCTCCTCTAGAGTGTTTGCATGCCTGTAGAGTGTGAGTGCTTGTTTAATGCATGTGCATATATCTGCAGCTTTTGTGCTCGAAGCTCTTAAGCTAGTGCCCTTCGAAGCCATGAGGGTGGCAGCTCTTGTGCTGCTGGTGGCCGTGTGGGGCCGTGTCGACGATGGATGGGAAGTCGTTCGCACGGCCCCTGAAGATGGTGCAGCTGGTGCTGGTGCTGCCCCGAACCAGCCGATGCAGGTGGACGAGGAGGGCCCTCCGGAAGTGCCAGTGCCGGTGCAGGCGGAAGTGATCCCCGGTGCTGGTGCTGCAGGTCCGGAAGTGCCAGTGCAGGCGGAAGTGATCCCCGGTACTGGTGCTGCAGGTCCGGAAATGCCAATGCCGATGGAGGCGGAAGTGATCGACCTGAGCTTCGAGGAATCTGCGGAGCTCCATGAGGCGGCGGAGAAAGCGAAGGCAGCCGCTGCCGCTGAGGCGGCTGAGAGGGCCAAGGCTGCCGCTGAGGCGGCTGAGAGGGCCAAGGCTGCCGCTGAGGCGGCTCAGAGGGCGAAGCTCGAAGAAGCTGAGAAAAAGAAGGCAGAAGCTCTAGCAAGGGCTCAACAGAAGACGAAGATGCACGAGGAGGCTGCCAAAAAAAACTCACGAGGCAGCAGAGAGGCTAGCTGAGCTTTGCATGGCTGAAGAAGAGGCAGCAGCCCGTTTGGAGCAACTGCTGCAGCAGGCGGCCTCCAGCTCAGGCGCCACTTCAAAAATTTAGGAAGCCAATGGCTCCTTCAGCTTTATAAGTATAGATCAGGCAGCCACAGGCTCCTAAGCTCCGGTCCGGCCTGCAGGTGCTCAAAGCTCCACGTGGAGACCGGGTGCACCTGGCCCAGAGCAGACTCAAAGCCCAGGCTCGATCCCGACAAAATCTTTTAATCTAAGACAATGGCTCCTAAGCTCCTGTCCGGCCTGCAGGTTGTCAAAGCTCCACGGCTGCACCTGGCTCGGAGCAGACTCAAGGCCCAGGCTCGACCCCGACAAGTTCTAAGGCTTAATATAGGAAGCCCATGGCTCCTTCAGCTTTTAAGTAGGATGGATCAGGCAGCCACAGGCTCCTAAGCTCTGGTCCGGCCTGCAGGTTGTCAAAGCTCCCCGTGGGCAACTGGTCCGGAGCAGACTCAAGGCCCAGGCTGGACCCGGCAAAATCTAAGGCATGTAATCGATCCAGATCCCTGCTGCAGGTGCTGGAGTTCCCCCGTGGCGGCGAGCTGTTCCTGAAAGTCCACCACCGCCGCAAGGGCCGCCGCCGCAAGGGTGGCAAACTCAACCGCCGCAAGGGCCGCCGCCGCAAGGGTGGCATACTCAACCGCCGCAAGGGCCGCCGCCGTTCAGCTGGCCTCAAGGACATGCTTGGGCTCCAGGCTACCCTTGGCAGTTTCCTCAAGCATGGCCTGGAGTCACGTGGCCTCCTCCGCTAGGCTGGCCCAGCTGCACGTGGCCACAAGGTCCACTTCAAGCTCCACCTCAAGGTCCACTTCAAGCTCCACCTCAAGGTCCTCAAGCTCCACCTCAAGTTCCTCAAGCTCCACCTCAAGTTCCACTTCAAGCTCAAGGTGAAGTTCACTTTCAAGCTCAAGCACAAGCTTCACCTCGACCTCCACCTCCACCACCTCAAGTTGAACCTCAAGCTCGAGAAGCTCCACTCCCACCGCAGGAACCTCCACGTCCACAAGCTGAAGGTCGACCAGAAGCTGCTGGGTTTTCAGGTGGACAAGCTCGTGCAGGACATGGTTTAATCAGGTAGCCAGCGGCTCCTTTTTTACAGGATTTATAAATCAGGTAGCCAGCGGCTCCTTTTTTACAGGATATTGGTGGCATCGTAATGCTTGCTTCCAGGACCTCGCCTCGACCTACGATGGTGCAAAGTCTGCCATGCCCAGAGCTACTACCAGTCCGGCACATGTGTCAACCCGGCCTGCGAAGCTTAGCTTATTTTGAGACCCTAGACCCTAAACCCCTAAACCCTCAACCCTAAGGCCGAAATTTAATCCATACAGCCGAGGCATTGTACACGGGCAAACGTCCAACCACGGGGGGGTGGCGCTTAAAGCGAGGAACCCGTGGCAAGAAGCGGGCTGAGTGGTGGAGCAAGCGGCACGGAGGCCAGTGTGTTATAAATAGCAGGCAGCCTTGGGCTCCTGTAAGTATATATATATATATATATATATATATATATATATTATAAATAGCAGGCAGCCTCGGGCTCCTTCCTATAAGTATATATCCTATAAGTATATTATATATAATATATTATATTATATATTATATATATATGTAGATAACTCCTTAGAGTGTTGTCCCTGCCCATGCAAGTAAACCCCCCTGCAGGTGCTTCTGGCTCCAAGGGCCAGGATGACGAGGAAGATGACGATGAAGAAGAGGAAGACGATCAGACATGGGGCCCCTGGAATCCCAAAGATGGCTCGAACGGTGACAAGAACGGCGGTGGATGGGGCTCCTCTGGTGGATGGGGTTCCTCGCAAAGCTGGGGAACTCCAGCCGTGTGACCATGCAGCGAGCATAATGCACGATCGGTTCTTGCAGAAAAAAGTTTTGTGTCCGTGTTGTGTACTGTAAGTGACTTAAGGCAGGAAGCCTCAGGCTCCTTGAAGTGGTAGAGGTGCAGCAATTATAACAGGAGCACTATATGCACCCTAAACCTTAAACCCTTAAACCCTAAAGCCCCAAACCCTAAACCCGCCTGCGAGCTTCTTGCAGTTTTTCAATAGGGCAGGAAGCCTCAGGCTCCTCAGAAGGTTTAGGACAGGAAGCCTCAGGCTCCTCAGAGGGTTTAGAACAGGAAGCCTTGGGCTCCTGAAGCTTGAAGCTAGAGTTTGACCGTGGCCGAGGATTACTGTAGCACTCTAGAGGCTCCCATGTCAGCCCAGGCCCCTTGTCATCTGCATACCGTGCTGCAGTCCTGGAGCTCAAGACAAGACGTGTTTCACCCTCGCTTGAAGCCATGAGCCAGAGTGCCTTGGACGTGTTCTTCGGTGGAAAGGGTAGTGAGCCAGAGCTCGACACTCAGCAAGAAGACACTCAAGAAGTGGAGGTAGTTCAGGAAGTCCCGGAGCCTCAAGAGCCTGAAGCTAGCGAGGTTGAGGCTGCACCCAAGGCCAAGGCCAAGGCCAAAGCCAAGGCCAAGGCCAAGGCCAAGGCCAAAGCCAAGGCCAAGGCAAAGGCGAAGGCCAAAAGCAAGGCCGCCGAGGAGCCTAAAGCAAAGGCCAAAGGCAAGGCGGCAAAGTCCGAGAAGTCCAGCGAGGACGAGAAGGCGGACGACGAGGCCGTGGCGAAGGAGGAGAAGCAGCAGGAGTCGAGCCAGGAGCACGAGCAGGACGAGAAGGCCGACAGCGACAGCAAGGCCACCAAGCCCCAAGCCAAGGCCAAGGCGAAGGCCAAAGCCAAGGCCAAAGCCAAGGCCAAGGGCAAGGGAAGCACGGTCGAAGAGCCGAACCCCCCCGACAACGGTACGGAGAAGCGACCGGGCAGCCCGCCGGAGGAAAGCAGCAAGGCGAAAAAGTCTCGCTCGGACCAGGACCGTGAGAAAGCGGCGAAGCTGGGCGACCTGCAGCTTTGCAACAGCGAGCCCCAGCCGCCTGCCGGGCAGGGGGAAAGCAGGGACAAGAACAAGGCATGGTGGTTCTCGAAGCACTTGAGCACCATGCCGGACGATATCCAGAAGTTGTTTCTCTCTGAGAAAGTGTCACGGGTGCCTTGCCACATTTTGATATCTAGGCTTTGGCCCTATAAAGGAGGCACCGTCAGAGGCAGCCTTTGGCTCCTGCTATAATTGCCATAGGCTTTTGATCCTTGAGGTAGCCTTTGGCTCCTGCTGTGCAACCATCTGAGGCCGACAAGACGAAGCTCATCAATGGTGCGGTTGAGAAGAAATCCGGGGGCAAGGCCGGCCAGATGTACAAGCTGAACACCGAGTCCGCCGTGCTCCAGCAGCTGAGCACCTTCTACAAGAAGGTTTGTGGCAAGGACAAGGTGAAGGGCAAACCCAGAGCACTGATGGTGGCCAAGCTGGGAGGGGAGGAAGCTTTCAAGAAAGCTCTGGCCACCGGGGATGTGTATGAGGTGAACAACAATGGTTCCTTGTTCTACTGCTTCAGAGAGATCGTCGTCACCAATGAGACTGGCACCAACAATAGGATGTCGACATCGAAGCTACGGAGCATTTAGAGGCTTATGTTTTAAAAGCTTGAATGAGCTATAGATACTAAGTTTTGTTCCCATCAGCTCAGGAAGCCCGACCAGAGCATCACCGACTCCGCCGCCGAGGGATTCGACAGCTTCTTCGCAAACTTCCAACCATGCCTGGAACCGGACCGTGCTGCTGGATGTGGCTCAGAGCTCCAGGGTGGCCTTCTGGCTTTGTGTGACAAACCGGGAGCAGAGAGCTGGACTGCGGAAGCTAGTACGAAGGTGGAGGAAGCCTTGCAGTGGGCAAATGCCACGAGGATCAGTGTTTCCAAAGTGCTTTCAAAGGAGACGGCAGCTTTGAGCAAAAGCTCGGTGTGGACGACCCTCAAGGGCCAGCTCCAGAAGGCTTGGGAGGACTTGATGCCCTTGCACTCGGATCTCGAGAAAGCGAAGCTCTTCAAGAACCTTTCGCTTGCTGAGCTGAGGTCGCTGTTGCAAAAGGCTGCAACTGGCCTGCTCGCAGCCCAGGATTTGATCAAGGGCATGACTGCCCTCATTTGATTTTGAATGTTTCCATTCTACAATTCGTCTTTTAGGATCGACGTGTCATGACACATGTGCATGTTTGCTCTGGGGATCGAAGC